TTGAATTTGCCTCCAGGCCCGTTGGCTCCTCTGCTCTCTGTTCCCTGGCTTCCCACTGAGTTTGGCCAGTGGAAGTCCCAACCAGGTGACTGGCTGGGAGGGGAGGAGGACCTGCTGCCTGGCTCCCATCCTGTGAGGTCCTGTGGTTCCCTCCCGCAGAGGGCCCGGCTTCTGCATCCTCCTCCTGTCTGTCCCCTGGGTCTCCCTAGGGGGAAAGGCTCCCTTCTGCCACCAGCTCGGGTGGTACACGTCCTCTTACAGTGTTCCTCCACCCTTATTGGTATTCCTGACATTCCCAATTTAAGGAGACACTTGCTTCCTGCCAGGACTCTGACTAATACACATGACCACCTTCTTGTTCACATTTTACATTTTAAAATAGTTGGAAAGCACCGCTTTGGGCTGATGTGGGGCGGCGGGGAGGGGGGTGCTCTCCGGCTCCTCTGTCCCTTCTGTTTCTCTGCATCCCCAGTCCCAGACCCACTGAAGATCCCCCTGACCTCCGCCCTCATCCTTCCCCTGCCCCTGGTGTGATAAATCAGTGAAACCGCCAGTCACCGAGCACCTCTGATGGCCAGGCCCGGTGGCAGGATCTGAGGATTGTAAGCAGACCTGGCCCTGCAGGGCGGGTGGGGTGAGGGGTGCTCACAGGCAGGTGGACACGGATGTGACCTGCCATGGACCTGCCATGGGTGGGAATCCCCAGGCCCATCTCTGCAAGATGCCACTGTTCCTGCTGACTCATGGCCAAGACACTGCCATCTGGAAGCCCCTCTCCCAATTCCTGGTTCTGGAGGTTGTCAGGCTGCACCCGGGATGGCTGCCCTCCCAACAGACCCAGCTCCTCACTGGCCACACTGCCCCGTCCTGTTGGCTGCTCTGCCTCAACACAGGTCTTTCAGGCCTGGCTTAAGAATGACATGCCTTGGGCTGGGGATGTGGCTCAAGCGGTAGCATGCTCGCCTGGCATGTGTGCGGCGCTGGGTTCGATCCTCAGCACCAGATACAAATAAAGATGTTGTGTCCGCCTAAAACTAAAAACAAAACAAAACAAAACAAACAAACAAAC